ACCTCCCATCCCCGTTCTCTCAGCACTCCCCGACTCCATCCATCGTTCTCGGTTCCAGGAAGAGGACAAGCGCCATGGGAAAGAATACTGAGGAACCCGTACGCTCTTCCTCCTATTTTGTTTTGTGTGGCAATTTTGGGGGGTGAGATGGTTTTGGATGTGTGAGTACTTATTCTTGTTTTTGTTCGACAAGGGTTTTTGTCTCTCGACTTCATCCATTCTTGCTACGACCTTTCACCTCGCTTGCAAGACTCCTTCCCAAACGAGACAAATTCCCTTCCTCGATGGCATAACCTACGCTAATTCTTCATGCAGTACACACTACATACCCTTCGACCTTTCTCTAGCGACTCTCCAGGTCATCATCACCACGCACGTCGCATACGCAGCGTGTGTAGTCTTGGGTGTGTATTATTGCAGACTGCACCTGCAGCATCGTTCACAATGAGTGCTGGCAGCGTGGGTGGTATGGGCACGAAAGGCATGGGTATAAGTTCAAGAGGCACAAACACGCCAGAATCCAAAATGGAGTCCTTTTGGCGCGTCGTCCGCGAAATTGAGCGACATGAACACGTCACGAGTCTTCCTGCTCCGCATGTGTGGCAGGTGGGTCCGCTTGGACGAGGGGAGATGAGGTCTTCTGGGTTAGGGTCTGCATCTGCGTCACAGTCTGCGCCAGGGTCCTCCTTTTCGTCGGTATTCCCGTCTGCGCCACGATCCACTCTCTCACCCTCTGACTCCTCATCGCCCTTTTCCAATGTACCGAGAGGGCCGGAACCGCAGTTGATAGTTACACTCTCGCCACATGTCCCGTCTTCGTTGTGCGATGAAGAAGTCTTGAAGTTTACACGGTGGGCGTGAGAAGGTCAGGGGGGCGTTCGTGGGTGATGGAACGAGGGGGGTTGGAGTGGAGGTTGAGGTTTGCGTGGGTGTTCTTAGGGGATAGGTAGTACATGGGGAAGGGGAGATATAGCGGACCTTCTTTACGTTTACCTTTTCCGGCTACGCTGAATACCCTTCTCGCTCTGACAGGTCAAGAATCGCAAAGTATTGAGGTGATTTTGCCGTGCGCCCACAGTGATACGAAGTTAACTAGTGCCGCCCTGCATAATTAGTTCAGTCGACATGCATGCGACGAGACCACGACAGGGTGACTCATACGAAACGACTCCTCGACGTTCAAGTTCTCTGGGAAGTTGGAACGCCGGTTAACCAATGGTCAGGCACTCGACAGTTTCCAAACTGCTGCTTTTTGGTTTACCAAATTTCTGGCATGTGTCACCCAAGATAGGGTCAAAACCTCCGAGCGCTACTAATAATAGCGTACCGCAGGTTCACGATTCATCAAGTCATCTCAGAAAATACCCAGGCACTCCTATGCAACTTGCCCTTTTATCACAACGCGCTGACGTGGTTCGACGCGGCCTATTATGACGCGCCCCCGATAAAAGCAGCACTTCCCGAGCTCATCCTGATGCACGATGCCAAAGCATTAATGGCTTGGCGTTCCCCCGCAAGGCTAGAGGCTAGAACCTCTTGTGGCACACGACCGCATCATAAGCGAGTCCCTATACACCGCGTATATGGCAGCTGTATCCAATTGGACACTCGCTAGTCATGATTCGACACGGCGTGTGCGTGACGGAATGAATACTGTTTCCACCTCTCCTCTTTTCCACGTCAAGATCTATTCCGTTTCTTTGCCCAGCAGCGTGATGTGAACTCGCTTAGAGTGTTGCAAGAATCAAACTGTGCCCACCCTGTCCCTCGCTCGAATGTGGCAACTATAGCAGATGGGCCAGCTATTCATTTCCGGAGGAAATATAGCAGTAGGGCATTCATGTCAATGATTTCATAATGACTATATGTCAAGTACAACATATCCTTTTAATTCTCTTCGATCCCTGTCGATGGTCGGTCTTCGTCCCCGACTTTATAAGTTGAGGTGCTGTCATCTTGAGTAAATTGGGATATCCGGACCCCTAAGGCCTCGTTTGATATTGCATGTTTCTCTGTTCTATCTCTCGGTCGTTCGTCTCGGGAGGTGATGTCGACAACTGGTCGCGAGGCGAATAATCACCATGTAGAAGGTGATCGATATGATAGGTACGGCCTAGTCAATCAGTTCTCAGCGTTTTCCACATGGAAGAGGTAAACGGCGGATTCACTATATCCGTTATAACAGATTGTCCGTTGTTCTCGACGAGGAAACAAATCAAAAGGCCGAATAGCATCACAGAGTACAAAACAGCAGCATCCATAAGGATGCGCACAATTGGCATCATAGTGCTCTTCGAAACACGTATTTTAGATACGCGACGTTCAGATTTCCAGATACGATATATCAGTAGTCCTGGACACTTTCAGGGCCTCGACATCGTTCACGGCAACGCGCTTACCTGAACATAACAAATTACTTGTAAGAGTCGATGCAATGAATGATATGATCCACTTTGCATCTTCGACGGCGAAGACATCTCCGGGATTGGAAGTGGCTTGCGAATTCACGTAGACTGCGCGAATGCCAGTCACTACGAGGCAGTATCAGACCACACAACTTCCAGAGTATTATTATAACCCGACCTATGATGGCACACCATAGCAAACTTGGTAGGATGATCACCCGGACGGATCGCCAAAGAACATAACAGCGATGAATCTTTTGCAAGACAAGGCATTTCTATAAGTTCACAAGCAAACCAACACAGAAACGCACCATCACGCCATCAGCAAGTACAGTCTGGGAAATGTATAACGCGTGTTTGATCACATATGTCTCTTCCGCAATATCTGCGAAGTACGCCGGTGGCCCGCCTAGCCACGTATCGCGATACTTCACCAGTCCATTTTCGATATGAATGATAGTCATGACCATGTGCTTTGGAATTGTCAACCAATAACATCATACTATGTTAGAAGCGAAAAACTAACCGCAGTGCTCACTAACAATAGCAGGAGGACCACCACAGCGACTGGGCGATTGACATCCCGCATCCGACGTTTGTAGGTCAAGGCCCAGATAGTGCCGATAAACATGAGGACTGAAAAGCCTAGAGAGGAGAGCCTAGCTATGTGAGCATGGAACGAAGAAACTCATTGCGATACTCACCATAGAGAATGCCCTCCAGTATTGCTGACATCAAAGCGCTGGTATCTGCAGGGAGGCTATTCATAGCGAATCTACAATCCAACTAGGGGGTGTGGAAAGTGTAGGCCCATCTGTGCCAGTTTCTGTGTATCATTAAATATGTCATTGTGTCAGGATTTGCACAGATTCATCCGCAGTGGGAGGAACTCGGTAATGGATATCGTGGCGACATTCGCTCACTGTATCGTGATGCGTCGCTTTCGTCTATCAATTGGTCTACCGGAGCTATGATATCTTCGGTTGAAGATGCAGGAGGGACGAGTTCAGAAGATTGTCTTCAATATAGCTGGAATAGGAGTGATTAAAGTGAACCTCACCCTTGGACTGTCATTTCTCCGGTACCTGTTGTATAAGCCCATAAATATATCCTTCGTTCTGGCTACTTATCAACCGATATCATAGACATAGAATGCACGCGCATATTTAGTCCCAGGGGAACATCCCACGGAATCCTATGCATTCGGAAGGTGAGTTTGAATATCAAAAATAGAGGGCACGAAAGTTTACCAAAGGTGCAACATCTATGTGCGTCGTGAATGTAGAATACAAGATAAACATCGAAGCCGCACAAATACAAAAGAGTACTAATAGGACATGTAGAAATTTACCTGTGAACGTTAGCTAACCTTTTGAACTACTTTCATGGTGCGTCGAAGTAACTACGCCCCAAGCTAGACTGCAGGGAATTGGACCTACTACTATGTGATTTCTTTCTCCACACCATGTTAAGAGCACGTCTGCCGATGATGATTCAGTTTATATATAATGATTATGCCACAGCCTGGGAATGTTTACGTGCCCCCACATCGTTTTGCTTGGGAAGGTCTTCGCCTAGTCTTTGCAGCGTCAGGTTCGAGCCTTGGATATTGGGTAGTCTTCGATGCCCTAGATTTGTGGGCCCTTCTTGGGAGGGTTAGTTTGCGTTTTCTTCTCTCATCACCTGTAGGCAGACCAAAGTTCACCAAACAGAACAGAATGTGGTTTCGAACCAAACTAAAGACCAATAACTTAGATACGTCAGCCGAGCATGCCAAAGGAGCCAAGGAAATCAAGTCTTATGTATGACCGCTGCGAGCAGTAGCTAGTAAATTCGAGTTGTAATGTATCATAGGGAGAAAGTCATAATAATGAAACTATTCAGATGAAATTTGAGCGGCTGACTGTTTGTCACACTTGGTCACGTGACATAATAAGATGGATTGACACTGCGTACACATGCCACTGGCGTCATTTTTGATCCTCACCTGAAATAAAATAATGTTCCTGTGACATAAACTGCATAATGTCAATCAGGGCAATACACGAATGTACACGATATTGCAACAACAAAAGTTTTGGTGAGCAGGGGAATATAATTACAATAAAACGGACAACATATTGCAGAGCTATGTGCAAGCATAATGATATATAGAAGCACAAACAAAACTATGGGAAAATACAACACAAACGACATACAAGACACATTCAGTTTGGTTGCAAGTTTGATAGGGAGCCCTTTCCGGACTCTGCTGTGAATGCTGATGGCCGGTCTTCGATCCCTATTCCATAAGCTGCTTCATTGTCATTACGCGTGAATTTGGATCTATAAAATTGCAAGGGCCGCATAGGATACCGCTGCAAAGTGCCTGTGTCTGTTGCATTGGTCATTCCCGGGCCCATAGTCGAGAGATGACTGTGCTTTCTGTTGATTACAACACGAATAAGGATCATATAGAAGGTGATCGATATGATGGGCGTGAGCTAGTAGTTCTAAGTTCAGATTTTGTCAAATAATAGACGTCAACGACGGAATCACCATTTCCTGTATAACAAGCTGTCCATCGTTCGAAAGTGCATTAGTGATCAATGCGATCAAGAGCGCCACAGAGTACAAAACAGCAGAATCCACAAGCAGGCGCGCGATTGGCATCATATTGTTCTTCCCGACACGAACTCCAGAGACAGCACGTTCGATGTTCCAGATGCGATATGCAAGTAACGCTAGACATGTTCAGGCATTGGCATCACGCCCAAAAAAATTGGCTCACCTGAACTCAACAAATTTGTTGCAATAGTCGAGATGTAAAATGCATTAACCCAATGTACAAGTACCACACGCTCGTTTTGATAGATTTGACTGGAGTCACTTTTGATTTGCGAAAAAGTGTAGTTGCTAGCAACACCAGTCACTGCGATGTAACATCAGAAAAGACGATTTGATAAATCGTGAGCATGATCACGAACTAACCTACAATACTGCACCACAGCATGCTCGGTACGACAATGACCCAGACTGATTGCCATACAACATAACAGCGATAAATCTTCCGAGTCAGCCAGACCGCTCTCTGTGAGCCCAGAGGGATTTAAGCTGCTATAAAAGCATGAACTCACCAATACCCCGTCACCCAGTAAAGTTTGCAAGCCGTATAACACATTCCCAATCGTAAATGTGTATTGAGAAGGGTCGGCAAAGAACGCCACTGGCCCACCCGGGAATGTGTCGCGATACTTCACCAGTCCATCTTCAACACGAATGATATTCACGATCATGTGCTTTGAGAAAGTCAACCCGTGGCAATATATGTAAGAGGAGAGAGAAGCGCCTACCGCAGTACTCAGTATGAACAGCAGGATGGCCACCATAATGATTGGGCGACTGACATCCTGTATGCGCTGTTTGTAGGCCAAAGCCCAGATAGTACCAATAAACATGAGGATTGAAAAACCTAGGGAAGTGACTTTAGCTCGGTGGACATAGGACGAAGGAAGTGCTTGAAGTGCTCACCATATGCCACGCCCTCCAGTGCTAATGACAGTAAACACGCAGCATCTAATGATATGTTTGAAGCCATAGCAAAAATAAGATCTGCAGCTGTCTACAGCGTTGTAGATGCACGAAGGTGTGGGGGCATATTTGCTAACCCCACGCATATATCATTATATAGAAAGACGAGATTATCAAAGTACCATCATGATAACGGCCCATCAGAGAGAGGTTGATGAAGGCAATCCTATACTCACTGGTTCCCCGTTATCATGATTAGCTTCGGTTATTCCCGCGCAAGGGAGTTCCATGTAGATGATGATTAGTCCAATTTTGTTGTCACTCTATATCCAGGTTGAATCGATGACTTCCCACGGGCTCGAAAAATCACCTGTGATTCACGTGTAACTCTTGTAGTTAGAGGTGGATGTTGTTCGCCAGGTAGTGTTGTTGGCTGCCGAGTTTTGCCGGCCGGTTGCGCCCGGTCATGGGCAAAACTTATGCAAAGGGACGGCAAAACTTGGCACAATCCAGAGGTGTAGCTTAGGTAGAGTTTGAATCCAATGGAATGTAGAAACATCCTAAAAGCAAGATAGTGTAGAATTCAGAACAACCCACTCAGGGCCTTTGAAGTTTGCTATGACAATCACCTCAATTAATATTGTAGGGTACGCAAAGTGCACAAGATAATCCACACGCGAGTACATGTGTAATCTCTCAGTTGAGACCTTTGAAATACTCAGCTAAATTCGTGCAAACCTTTGAAACTACTGTGTGTCGTAAAAGCTGTACAAGGCTGGACATGCTCACGACTCGTGGCTCGAAAGATGTTGGTCATTAAATCAGAGTCTGCGGTCCATAGACCATGATGTATCAGTGATGTATCACATAGACCGTTCCTGTAATGTATCGCCTTCCTGTTGCTCAGCGCTCAACGCTCGTATGATATATCACTAAACCTGCGCACATGATCTTGTAATGCATCACCTTCGATCGGGCAGGCTTTGATCACCTACATACAGTCTCGAGTTTGGGGCTGTTTGTATTGTAAGGATTCATATCCTTTACGCCCCGACTATAACTTTACAATGAGACACACGGACACATGTCCCGTCAGCCACGTGACGTACTGATGCGAAGAAGCACCACGCTTCCCATCCGAGTCACGCGGATACAATCTTTTCTTCTTACCTTCATTATCTCACTACTTGACGACATTCAGCACGACCATTCAGTTGTCGCCACACGATACCCTTGCCATTACCAACATTCTGACACCTTTCTTTCGTCACCATCCCTCGTTCTACTTCGCCGTACCAAGAACAGTCAAACTTCTCGTCATTTCTGTGCTAACCGCACTGTCTAAAACCACCACTCATACTATACTTTCGTACTCTCCTTCGCTCCCGCTGGTTCTACCCTGTCAGGATCGCCGCCACTCACTTTCCGTCAACGTTTTCACCTAATCATTCGGCTTAGGTATACCCGAGGACCCTTAGCGCCTCACATTCTTAAACACACCTTGTAGATTGCATGAAAATATAAGTCTTCGTCCCCCCAAAACTAAAAACAGTCGTCCCTCCTTAAAGAACGTCCTCTCTCAGCGATTCCCTCCTCGAACTCAACGTCAGCCTTATATATTTGGAGCCCACCGCGAGGGAATTGCTTTCGAGCTGCCCTTGCACCCCTTGTTCGATTTATCGAACTCTCACTCTTTTGACCAAAAAAAAAAACCCTTCACAATTACTAAGTATTATCATCCAAACGCGCAGATCCGTCTCCAACAGCCAACTGCGCTGGCTCTCCTGAAAAACACCTCTGCCCCAAAGAAGACCAGAACCCGCGCCAATACCATCACCACCGCCTACCC